GCAGTGGTTCACACAATCTGCACTACAAATAAGTACTGCTTCATTGGCTTCAGATCACAAAACTTCAAAACTATTTTAAGTTAACTATTTGAAAGTTTTTTAATTCCCAGAAAAACTTAATTCAATGACAAATGCAAGGAGTGGAATAGTAACTCAGTGGCTGATTAATATCACTCTGAAATAATGTGTCATGAAAGATGCAACTGTAGCACATGGAGAGCTCAGTAAAAATAGTATCATTGTTTTCAAAGCCAAACGAACAAACAGGAAAGACGATAAGCTACTGAAAAAAACTCAAATAAACCAACCAAGAAAGGAGAGAAGGCTAGGCCAAGAAAAACAGCATAAAATCCTAATCCTATTTTTTCATTCTATGGCTTAGTTGGGTCTTTAGTAGATGCATGAAACAATTGGGTAAAATTTATTAGCAGCACACCTCCTGTCCTGTAGATGTCACCAAGGCAATAGCATATATCTAAGCTAACCACCACAACACACAACTTTTACATACATTATGCAGATATTGGAATAATGACAATTACTGATAATAATAATAATTTTAAATAATGCATTTAAATAATATAAATGAAATTACTAAACATAAAAACAATAATAAAATTATTATAACACAAAATATACAAAAATGTCATTTTACATTAATTAAAAAAAAGAATAATTTCAACCAGTTTGAAACCATTAAGCAAAAGTACAGAGCCCTGCAATCTCCACAATCACAACAGCCTCCAAAACCACTTCACAAACTGCCATTTCCTTCACTCATTCATAAGGTACCTTCATCTACGTTTATCTGCTCCTCATGAATGTCCTTTTCATCCCATTATATATATCCCAGAATGCTGTGCAGCCAAGGCCAAAGTTAGTGACAGGAACAGGCTGAGCAGGAGAGCGCGCCTCGGGCAGTCTGACAGCGGCGTTGCGCTGGATCAGATCCTCAGCTGCGAGACCCGGTAGATCAATGGCGCATGTTCCAAGAAAGCATGCCACGGGGTTGTTTGAGCCTGCTAAAGAAGCAGTGGCATCTCAAACTTACGCACACACAAAAATGTGTGCGAGTGCTATAGCTAATCTGGGTGCTAGGGTCAGCCGAGGTAATCCCCGCGGGGTGGAGGGGAGAAGAGACTGACCGATCTTAACCCAGCCCCGTCAGGATTTTGATTGGCACAGCAAGCTGCTCCACAACTTTCTCACTGGTGTCGGAGCAAACGGCACATACCACTGCGCAGCTCAGGAGGGGTGTCTCGCATGCACACACATCCTCCAACCCTCCCTCTTTCTCCAGAAAAAAACTCTGGAGGGACGGCAGAACACACGGGCTGCCAATTTAATGAAGAGAAAAAGAAACAAAACTTTGTTCTTCGCGCTTATGCATGTTCTTTTGGCTTGTTTTCTCCCTATTTTTCTCTAAAACGTTCTCAGGGGACTCTAGGAACAGAAAGCTTGAGCAGAGGTTCGTTTGGAACAGCGTTCAGAAGTCCACGTAAGCTGAACTCGACTGACACAAACACTTTTATGGGTCTCTAAGTGTCACAGACTCCACCCACACAGAGACGAGCTCAGTTACCACTCTACTCCACCCCCCCACCCCCCCCACCCCCCCAAACACACACAGCGCCCACTTAGAAGATAAGATAACAAAAATGAACCTGCTTGTCCTCTCTTTTTAATCAGTATGTCAACGTAACAACCGCAACAGGTGGTAGAGGAAACTACAATGGTGTGGACAGATCCACACGTAGCTAAAGAGACACCAGAAAAACACTTGCGGCTACATATGCAAACGAAAAAGGCTGTGCATATGCCTGCTCACTGAAAGCGCCTGGGGCTACTGATGGCTGAAGGGTCAGGCAATGAGTGAATGAGAGAGAGAGAGTGTGTGTGTGTGTGTGTGTGTGTGTGTGTAGATCAGATCATCTCCTCATTACTGCAGCTCAACTCCTGACTCAAAGACACATGTTTTCAATGACCCGCAGCCTCAGCTTGTGATCAGCATGGCAGAAGTGTTCACAGAAGTCCTGTTACACACACTGTTTATCCAGGGCTGTTTAGATAGGCTGAAATATAGCTGTAATTAATGCTGATTCCGTACAGCAGCTGCTCACACACATGCGACAGAGGGATAATCAAGAGTTAGATGGGCCGTGTTGAAGTTCATCATCTCATAGATAGCATTCAAGATATATCACTTGTACGTCAAGCAGAGGTTGGATTAACTTAACATTTACCAAATGTTAAAGGTAGGGTAGGCAAATTGTTTAATAAACACTTTTTGTAATACTGGTTGAAACTCTCTTCACATCTTGATATCAAATCAATAATAGAAGTGGTCATGTGATGAAACAGGGCCAAATATGCAGAACCACATGTAAAACAGGTAAAATGTCCAATTATTACTGTTGTTACAACTGTCGTTAACTGTTAACTGTTAAAACGATATTGCATTAACAACCCACTTAATTTTCTAAATATATATAGTCCCTTCCCCACAAACATGAACACATAGACTGAGACATGGAGGCTGAAGGTCAATGTCTTCCTCGAAAGCATTGTGACATGGTTTCCCTCATATACTTATTACTACTAGTTACTTAATCGTATTTCAATTGCTTGATTAATTTGTTGGCAAGATTTTAAGATCCGTTAATTTTATTTGCAACAGTAGCTTAACACAACGCCTAAATAACTTGGGTAAATTTGATTAACCAATTGCCTGTGCTTCCTAGGTGACGTCAGGAGAAACTGAAGGTTCTTTCAGAGGAACAACAACTGATTTTGATGAAAGATTATAATACTTTTCAAACCCTAACTGATGGATCAAATAAAACAAGACCTTGAAACCTGATAAGACAGTTAATGAGTTTCAATTTCATGTTTATTTGAAACAATTTGTCCATGTGACAATGAGACAACCTGGTTTGGATGCCATGGCAAGAATTCACCATTCTGAAACACGTTTTTTTGACTATATGCATGTGAAAGTGTGAAGCCACAGCTACTGCACTCAAACAGCTATAAAGTTGGAGTCTGAAACTCTCATGTTCTTCTCCCTTCCCTCTGTGGTCCCTGACAGCAGCATGGAGCCTCTTGGCTGTGCCAAACAGATAAAACAGATTCCTGGAAAGCTGTGCAGCCCTCCATAAATCAGAGAGAGCAAGAGAGACTCTCAAAGCACAGATGCATTTTTGCCCAATAACCTGCGCGCGCACACAGTCCGAGTTCTTATAAGACCGCGTCAACAGCATACAAAAACAACCACAAAACACACCCTCTCATAAAAAAGAAAACACACAACCTCACATTAAGCATGATTCAAACACACCCCTTCTCAAGAAAAAAAAACAACAACCTTCAAAACAGAGCCATTTGAAAACACACACACACTGGCTTCCTCAGACGGACACTAGGGGGATTCTTGTGTACTATTAGGCATTTCAAAACAGTTCTTCTACTTGTTTGTGATAACAAGAATGAATGTAAATTCAACTAATCCCCACATAATAGCTTGCAACAATAGCCGCAAACAAACTTGAGGGAGCAAAAAAAAAAATAAACCTACTACAATGCTGTATTTCAATGAATGTCATTCACACTGGCTAATACACTACCTTTCAAAAGATTGGGGCTGGTAAGATTTTTTTATGTTTTTCTTTTATTCTCATCAAGGCTGCATTTTTTTATTACAGTAAAAACATTTAGCTATATTACAATTTACATTTAATTTGTAATTATTTTTAAGTTGTATTTATTCCTGTGAAGGCAGCACTGAATTTTCAGTGTCACATTAGAAGAAATCATTCTAATATGCTGATTTGCCATCTCAAGAAACATTTCTTATTTCTTAATCAACAATATTTCTAATTACATAATGAATCATTAGTAGGTATTCACTGCACAGTGTCCCAGTTTCTGAGAAAATTTGATGCAAATGCAGTCATTTTGACACAATAATCAATTAGCCTAGTAGGCTGCTCAAACACAAAGGTTATGTTCAGAGAAGCATACTAACACACTAATCTATCTTACTATAGCTGCAGTATACAGTGTGCATATAGCCTGACTTCGTCATACTCATATTCTAGTCAGAATATGAGTCTGAAACTACTTCACTGGGCTTTGATTATGAGGCGTGTCTTAATCGAACCAGGGGGAAAAAAAAAAAAAAAACTCTGCACTCAATTGGATAGTCGGTAGACCTACAACCAATCAGAGCAACGCAGTAAGTCAGCTACTTTGCATAGCGCAGTTTTCAATTTTAGAAGTTAAATAACAAGTGTTGCGTCTTTTACTTACTCCTCCATGAGTGCGACCAAAGGAGAAACCACAACGACCACAGGCTTTTCATTACGTCCCATTTCTTAGCGACCATCGGAGCCAGCTGATATAAGTTACACTTTTGCCGAATCATGTGGGAAGGACGCCAAAAATATCTTTCCGATCGACAAATGCCTTGATTGCAGTTCTCTGTTTGTCTATTAAAATGAATGCGTTGTCGATTTATTTTACAACAGACGCGACAGCGGAATCTATACATCTCAATTCTCCAGCTGCAGTCATCTTTGACAAGCGTTCTTTGATAACGTGATGATTACAACCCTGCAGATCACCTGTCCATCATCGTATAAAGCCCGCCCTGGCAATTTGATTGGCCCGAACGTTTCTTGTCTGATCATAATTACTCCTCAATGGATCGAGTCCAGACCGAACTTCCCGACCAAAAAATGTTGTGGGCGGAGTTCGGGCTGGCATTTAGGCTAGTGTGCATACTGTGCACATTATGCAAATGTTATATATGAGGAGAATACTTATAGTGCAACAGAGCTTACTGAGTGAAATACTGCATCCTAATGCAAAGAGCTCAACTTTTGTTATCAGTGTGATGGATAAACCGGAAGTATCATCAGATGTGATTTAATGCAAAATATCCATACATATCCATGCTTAGAGTGAGAGAAAAGTGCACAAGAGAAGAGAAAAAAAAATACCTGATTCCTTCGATTCCTCCGATTTCCAAAATTTCGTCTGACAAGAGTTTTATAGTTCTGACTCTTCTTAGTCAAATAATAGTACAGCACACAATCAGACACACACTGCACACAGGGAGAGAGAAAATACAAATACAGCTGCATCACTTGGGCTAGTATTTGAAAAGAAGATACCATTAACACAACAAAAAAGCTGTCTGTAGGTGGGGAGGTGTGATCAGTAAAGCTGTTAAACCGTTACTGCTTCAGTTACAACATCCGCTTCTGGGTGTGACAGCAATCCACCATACTAAACTGAAACACAAAAAAAGAAAACCCACCTTTCTCTCCAGATATGAAGCTATCAGCCCAAAGTTCTTTGGATGCTGCATAAACCTGCATTACAAAAGATTCAAAGTTAAGAAAATGAAACACACACTCACACATGCCAGCATGAGCCACAGTTACTCACTTTTCCTTGAAGATCTCCTTCTCGTGTTCGGTCCAGACATTCATGAACTGACGGGATTTGTAGACTTTCATTGGGTCATCCATCAGACCGTTCATGTTGATAAACTTCACTCTCCGTTGCTCGGAATCGTACATCATTGGAGGAATGACTGACAACTGCCTCATCTGCTTCTCATTGTTCTGAGAGAGACAAAAAGGTGTTGAGATCCAGGATGGCTCTAGAGCACTTGATTACATTACTGTAGTCTCAGCCTCCGACGGCACACCCACGGTCTGGCCTGATGCACGCTGCACACAAAACTTGTGACTTGCGAATAAATCACAAACTCCAATCCACAAGTTTCCTACGCCCCATGAGGCCTTGCATCAAAAGTGGGCGCGACTTCCGGTTCGAAGTAAACAAAGCGCGATTTGACATGCTTGACACTCGTTGATTCAACAGTTGACAGTCATTTAAGTTTTAGCGATCCAAACTAGCTAACGATGTGGGAACACAACCTCAACGAAATTCTAAAGGGTGAAACCCTCCGCAGTTACTTGGTTGGGAGTATTATAATAACATTATTAATAATCAATACTCATCAAGGCATGGTGACAGACAGTTGTGCGAGCTGACAAACAATTAAAATAAAAAATACACACTTAGTCATTGTGCTTCGGAGTTTATTCAAAATTATAAATGAATGTGCTTCTTGAATACATTAACTGGCACATTTGGTATTCTGTCAACTCAGGCTTTAATCCTGAGTTTAGGTGTAACATCAGTAGCGAACAGCCAAACACATACTGATGGATTTTATAGAATATTAAGAATTTAAACAAATATACACAGGAAGATTTGTCGTCTTTTGGGAGGTGACGGAAACTACAGTCGTTGGCAGGATCACTCTGATTTCGTTTTCAGCTTATGTTCAAAACAATCCCGTTTAAGCCACTAAATTAGTTTAGTCCGGTTATACATACAAGCGCGAACAGCACATGTTGTCCCTGAGCTCCGTAACGACATCTCTCATAAAGATTTGCATCTTTAAATAGTAAAATAATTCTCCGAAAAACAGCTAGCCTCTTCGCTAACTAACACACAAAATGCCATTGGAATGCTACTTCCGCCGCCTCACCGGAAGTTTCACCCACTTTATTTTTTACAGGAGCGCCCCTCGGAAACTTGTGGATAAGACAAGCTCCAATCAGATTATCCGATTGCAACAATTTGCAATCGGATTTGAAATAAATAACCAGCACTTTTGGACCAATAGAAATTATAATCACAAGTATACACACATTACTGCTAATTTCTTTGGTGATTTCTGTACATTGGACCAACACCAAATGTTTGAACTAGATAAAAAGATGATGAGACAAACAAAACAAAAGTTGGCTTGAGAAAGCGTGACCAGAGAGTTTGAAGAAGTTTAAAGTAGTTTGAAGTTTGATCAATGGATTAGTTTGAAAGAACGAATAGTTAGAAAGAAAATGATTAGTTAGAAAGAAAAGAAAGATCAGATAGAAATATAGACAGAAAGATTAGGAAAAAAGAAACATTAGAAAGAAAGAAAGAAAGGTTAGAGATAAAGACAGAATAGTTAGAAACAAAGTAAGTAAATAGAAAGAAAGAGAAAGAAAGAAAGATTAGGACAGAAAGAAAGATTCACGTGGAAACGTGAAAGTCACGTATGTACATAGACTGTCCTTGACTCTTTGGATTTTAAATCTCGATGTAGGGTATACACACCCGCGAAAACCTCAGATTGTCGTAGACACACTTGCCCTATGAAGAAGTGCGGGGGATGAATTTACATTGTATAAAAAGTGGAGGGGAGCGTCCCCCACGTAATTCATGTTTTTGAAATCGAGTGACCAAAGTGCCGCAGCGATCAGTGGCACGGATACAGTGTTCTGTCATGCTTGGCAAAAGTTCTGCCACTGGACCATTAAAGTACATGGGGATAATAGTCGGATTCTCACCACTAACAACATATTAGATCTCATTAAACAGACAAATTTAGCAAATTTTGTCACTGCTGGTACGTCTCAGTACGGTTCGGTGTGGTACGGTACGGTTCGGCTCGCTTCTCCACTTTAAATGGTACCACCTCAACAGAAGCAGCCGAAGCAAGCCGTGCCGTACCATGCAGTGGAAAAGCGCCATAAGGTGCAAGTGGACCAGATTTTATGCTGCATAGTCCGGTCATGTGGCTCATATGTGGCATATTCAGTGGCTCACAGGAAATAATAAAGTCTGATGTATGGGAAAAGGATGGGGTGTACGTTTACCTGCTACTCATCTGGGTGATGCTTTGATGCTCTAAAACACTTTCTGAACTTGGGGTAAAGCCCCAGTCATCTTTTTTTTCAATATGGATCAGAGTTTATTTCACGTTATACATCAGATTGTTAAACTAGTAGTTTACCTCCTGCTCCGAGAGGCCGTCAATGATCTCGGATATCTCGTGTTCACTTCTTGCGATGGTGGCAGACAGGCCTGTCCCCCTCTGGCCCACCCTAAAGACGGGAAGGATGAAGCATGGTGAAAGAAAGCATTTCTCTGTTCCTGGCTTTGTTTCTGTACCACGTAAAGGCGCTTTCCCAAGCAAGCTACCAGACCAGAGTCCCACCCTGTTTCTTCTCCCACAAAAAGCCTTTGAAGGAGCGGTTACAGCTATTGGCAAGTTTCCTCTGGGTCTATTCATAAGCTCTGAAGGTCTTTGGTTTAGAGACTGTTCCAGCAACAATAGCTACATACTCTGGCTTGTCTAAACAATCAAGACAGGCAGGCATCATTCAGTAAAGTTGGATGGCTTGATCTGAATGAACGGAATTATAGACCTGATCCTGCAACCTTTATGAAGGGGGAAAATTATTTAGGGAAAGGCACAAATTGCCAAAACTAGGGATGCATGATCCTGTGCTTGTGTACTCATACTCATTAAAATGCTCAGATACCAAAAACTGATACCATGCAGCGTATACAGTACAAGAAAGAAACACCGACAACAGAGCAAACAGAGAGCAGAAGAGAGGATGCCTAATATGAAGTAAATGTATCCAATTAATAGAATGTTAAACAAATTAGCTAATTTGATTCATATTCCTCAACAGCCCAATATTTTTTAAAATTAAAAATGCAATGAAAATACAGGTTTCGGAACTAGGTAATACAAAAAAAAAAGTTCTGGAAAAAGTGGTATAGGTGCATCTCTAGCCAGAGCTAACAAGTCTAATAACCTACAGGTCTGATGTGGTCTTGCAGAGGGTTGACAAGCAAGATTCTTATTCAGTGGATCTATTTTTTTATTTTTAAAATGACTATAGCAAAATGATTATTGGCATTAAATTTCACTAATGGTTCTCTCAAATGTGCTTTTTTTTAAAGAATAGGTGTGCTTCAAGTCAAATAATTCCATGATGAGAGAAAGACGAAAAACACTAAAAATACTACATATGCACCAACAAATTCACACCATGCATCACCTGTCTTTCAGAGGATGATGTGCACAACACAGAGAAGTCAAGTTAACATATTTACATGATGGACGAAGCCAAGCTACAATACCATTATCTAGGTCTGTTAGTCTGACATTGTAAAAACTAGACTGGTACTGGGGCAGGTCAGTATGACGATATGTCTGTGGCAACGAGATTTTGCTAATATTGTGCATATAGGATTACAGAAACTAACTGAATGTGGTACACACACAAAAACTTTGCCACAACAGGTAATTAGTCTTAAGTGAACAGTTACAATTGGTAGAAAATCCAATGTGTGTCAGTTATATTATATTGGAGTACATTGGTTCACTGTGTCAATGTTAATCAAACAACAAAGAAAAAAATAATAATTCACTCACTGCTTCCACTACTTTGACTGAATAACTTTAGTAGCTTTAATAAAAATCAATGTATATTTCATCCATAAAGTAAAGACTATGTAGCGTTTTATTTAACATATGATTTTTTAATTTCCGAAATGTTCTCTTTATTCTATCACTAAACAGGCCTACAGTACCTGAACAAACTGAAAGCACTGTATACTGTATTTGTCTTTTGTTTGTTAATGTGTCCTATTTTTAATAACAAAAATAATATAAAAATCACTATAGAAATAAAATTGCGCATATAAAGAAATTAAATTCTGGTCTTTTCACCCACCCTAAACTACTACTACAGCTCAAGTCCAACTGAAATGAAAATGAAATAAAAAGTGTAAGTAAATCAAACAAATTATTATAACTATTAGAACTCATTACTCAAAGTTTTAAACCCATGACGTATTAGTTTGAAATTGTCTAATGACTCACTCACTGACTGACTGAATCACTCAGAGTAGTTGTGGTCATACTGATTAAATCACTTGACATTACCTCATTATTGACTATTTGGTATATTTAACAGTGTAGTAAAGAATTGTTAACTTCAAAATTAATCCATTCTTTAATTATCATCTCTAGTCTTGTTTTAGTAAACAAGTCCAAGAAAGAAGTCAATACAGGCAAAGAATCTTATACAATTATAAAACTGGAATATCTATAAACTGGCTACTTTGCTAACTACGTTTTTGTTCTATCAACAAAAACAACAGCGTCTGTGTTTTGGTGAATCAAGGTCAATGGTATGTAAATGTTCTTCATTTCTGCTTTAGTGGTGTTCCAGATTGAGTTCCCTGTAACTTTTTCCCTGTAAAACTATCACAGCCTGACCTCTGACCCTAGTACCCAGAGGATCCTCAATGCTGATTGGCCAACTGCTGAGTCAGGACAGAGCCCAACTGTGTCAGGGAAAAGCAATAATGGTGAATGTGTGTGCATGACAGAGCGTTCATTGGGTCATCATGGAAGGCTGGCTGACCTCTGGAAGCGTTCCTGTTGCTCACGCTGTTTGCGGATCTCAGGAAACTGCCTCTCGTAGTATTCCCGTGTACGGCTCTCTTTGGCTTTACGGCGTGGGTTGTTCTCCATCCGCTCAACTTTTTTCTCCCACTCAGTCATCAACTCATCATACCGCTGGCAAATTTTCTGCTCCTAAAGAAACAAAAGAAAAGTGTTTTGTGAAATAAAACTAAATCCTACGTATTAAAAGGGGACCTATTATGCAAAATTCACTTTAACATGGTGTTTGAACATAAATGCGTATCAGTGAACACAACCACCCAACAATGATACAATTGTACCCACAACTCATAAGCAGTGTTCAGAATAAGCTCTTTTCAGTCTTTATGAAATGTGACGCAGGGCTCCAGACTGCGAACAAAATTTGAGTGTGTGGAACTGAATTTTACATCCAGTCGCACATGTGACCAGTAAATTTGCCTTTTTTTTTACACGTTAAACGTGGAAGGGGCAACATCAATGGATATGGAATGAGTGGCAGGCCAATGAGTGTGAGAAGAATAGGGAATGGCCACTATAAATGGCTAATGTGTGGAGGGGGAGAGTCCTAGAGATAATCGAGCGCACGTAAACGCCTGTGGCAGGGTTTCCGTTGTCTGGTAATTACCGGACATTGGCCGGGGAAAAAATGAAATGTCGACAAAATTACATCTCTCCGGTCAAATTGTCAGATAAAAAAAAAAAAATGCGTAATAATCCCGCCCCCTAACACAATATGAATTTGAGAATAAGCCTAAAATGTATAAAGCAAAAATACACAAAATTTTTAGCTATGTTATAAAAGAACAGACTCGACCGTTTGAAAGTTATTAAAAAACATTGCATGCTGCATTTTTAAATAAAGCGCACTCCTAAAACGACTCGAATAGCCTATGTTCATCAGTGGTTACAGCCTATATCAAGCAGAGACACGTTTGTGCATTTTATTTTGTGATATCAACGGAATGAATAGAGAGTCTCCACAATGGCGAAAGATTGAAACGCGCGTTTGAATAAATGCAACTCCATGCAACTGATGGCAGCGGAGACACGAGCGCTCAGCTTGATTTCAAAAACAGATTTTAGTGCTAGATCTCTTTTTTAACAGCAAACTAAATCGATGATCTGCTAGTTAACAGGAGATGTTTCATTAATTTGTAAACCATACATCAGAAAACCTTCAAAATCAGCAAACCAGCAATCAAAATGCCTCTTTTTGGAACCAGATTTAAAGAAAACATCACCATTCGGCAGAAAGACACAAACGGCCAATCTTCATTAACCATGGCTGATCTTATAGCGCTTTCCCCCTGAATGGCGTGGCACGGAACGGCTCGGCACGTTTCGGCTCATTTTGCTTTTCCACTGAGTGGTACGATTCGTCTCTGCACAATTCAGCAGGCTTTGGCTCGGTTTGCTTTCCCACTGCAGTTTAGTACTGCTTCAAAGTGGGTGGGGTTATAGTCTGCTCGTTAAAGTTGCTAAAAAAATATTCATTCCCGGTCGTAATATCCAGCACTCGCTGGATCCGTTCCCGCTGAACGTCTGCACCTCGTCTACTGACCAGTCACCATGATTCAGCCATTTCTTATTTCAAGTTTCTATTCTTTTTTCATTTCATAAAAATTGTGTGAAAAAAATACACTGCGGTGGCTGTTGCTGACTATTTAAAAGGGACACCACGCAGGAATCCCGTTTTTGTCAAACAGCAACCCCAAGATTCGCTGTGGAGTATTTGTATTTAACATTACTGTCGTAAATACCACTCACGCAGAGCGTGACGTGTTAAATAGTATACACAATGGTATGTTGTGTTTAATTTGTCGTTTAATGAGATCTAATATATGTTAGTGAGAATTTTCACGTGATTAAATGCATAGACCGGCAATTACTGACCTTTAATGAACTTTAATGGTCAAGACGGCGAGCCACCATTCAATCCGAAAGAAGTCGCATAACCATTTCAATAACTCTGAAGCTGTTCAGTTAAGCTAAAAAAACTGCATAGAATCGCTTTAAATCTAACGGGTTTGGTGTCTCGTGCTGCAAATCCAATGATGCTGTTAGTGCCGATTCTCTCTGACCAATCAGTGATCTGTAGTGTTTTCATGTCACATTTTAGTATTGGTACGATAAGCTTGAAACCTCAACAGAGGTGGTACCATTTAATGCGAGCCCAGACGTACCGTACCATGCAGTGGAAAAGCACTCTGTTTACTCTGTCTCTGTTTAGCTTTACAATGATTTTCCCCACACATCCACTAATTAACTTATCTGCCTGTAAAAAAAACATTATTGCCATTCCATTGAACTCCACAGACATGCAGGATTGTGTACTAAATCCAATTTTGATTTACCACAAAATAATTGTAGTTTCTCTGTAACTTCAGTCATCTCTCCTTATGAATGAGCACAACACTCTCTCAAACGCATTGAATCTCTGCCACTGCACAAAAGAGAGACACTTACCCTCTGTTTGCGTGCATGGTTCCTCCTCTTGAAAAACAGGATCAGCTTCTTTCTCATTATCTGATTCCTGCAGCAAATAAATAAATAATTAAATAAATAAAATTGACATTCTCTTTAATAGAAGGAGCGAACACTGCACACTGAACAAGATCTCTCTGCTGATACATAACCTGCCCATAGACAACATCATGGCTTCTTCTCCAACTTCATCAGAACAGCTGAATCCCTCTCTACTTTCAAAAAATGTCACAAGACGCAATTCTTACACGAGCACTTGACTTTTAGGCCGTTTACACCAGGTATTAAAATGCGTTTTGGTTGATCAAATCACTAGTATACGAAGACGACACATTACTGTTTAACCCTTGTGTTTTAATCCATCTCTTCTGTCCTGATTTCTTCGAGGTGAGGATCTATGGGTGTGTAAATATATTGGCTTTTTCAGATCTTTCAATCTAATGGACGAAATATAACAGAAAACCAAATATAAATATATATAAAAATATAAATATAACAGAAAACCAAATATAACAGAAAACATCCGGATAGTATTAGCATTCGTTTCTGCTGTGATAGCCGCAAGAACACACTGAACGTGATGAGTGAGAGAACATTGTGCTTGGTGTGTTTTCATCTTCAAACTGAGCTTGGGTCTTCAGCCAGCAAGGTTTAAATCCTGTCTGGCTGGCGCGGTTCCCATAATGTTTCCGCATTACGTCAGTAGGTGGAGAGCAGGTTGTCTTTTGTGGCTGTGCATTTGACCACACAAGCATTTACACAATGAAAGCAATCTGGTCGAATGCGTTTCCGGTCAATTGCGTTTTGGGATGCGTGATCAGCGGTCTCTATAACGGCCGATCCAGAAAATCCGATCAGATGCTGCCAAACTTGCGAGACAATGTTTTACACCCTGATAAAAATGGCTTCACCGGTCTGGCAATTCTACAAGGTGTGTGAAAAAGGTAATTCATAAGCTATCTGCAATGTGAGTACCATGCCGTGGCCACTTGTCAAACTGTGCAGCGATCCGCAATTTACAAGTTATTCAATGGTCTAGTGGGAGATCTTTTGCCAAGCGTGTCAGAGGTTACGGGTTCTAATCCGCACTCATATATATATTTTTTTCTCTCATCAAAACTGAATATGTTCATCAGTGGTTACAGTCTATATCAAGCAGGGACACGTTTGTGTTTTATTTTGTGATTTCAACGGAATGAATAGAGTCAGCAGCATAATCTGCATAATATATATATATGAAGAGTTCAGATGCAAAAGCCTCTAAATGCCATTTGAAATTTTCTTCTTTAATGATGATTTTTATCAAACTTGTATATTTAAGTTCAGTAATTTCACTTAAATAACAATTAATAGGTAATTATCATTGCCATTTAAGTGAAATTACTGAACTTAAATATACAAGTTTGATAAAAATCATCATTAAAGAAGAAAATTTCAAATGGCATTTAGAGGCTTTTGCATCTGATGTGTGTGTGTGTGTGTGTGAATACACACACACTCACCTAACGGATTATGCTGCTGACTCTACTCATTCCGTTGAAATCACAAAATAAAACACAAACGTGTCCCTGCTTGATATAGACTGTAACCACTGATGAACATATTCAGTTTTGATGAGAGAAAAAAATATATACGAGTGCAGAATTAGAACCCGTAACCTTGCATAGCCCCTGCATTCTTTCTTGTGCGACACACCTGAATGAAAGGCTCATTATTATGCGGGTCTGTCTTCTCAGATGAGAACCACCTAATTATTCATGAGGGGGTTAGGCCATTTACGCCCATTCGCATATTGCCTTTCCAAAAAAAAAAAAAAAAAATGTTTTTCACAATTTAAAACAATCTATTGTTTTATGTGAATGATTAGGCAGGATGATTATCAAATCATTTTGAAGGAAAAACTCAAGGCGAATATTTAGTATGGGTTTTGTGGCCTTATTTCAGAAACTTTAATTTTTAGTTTCTTCAATAACCATGCATAAACAATATTCTCTCAAAAATACAAACATGTACATACATGTTGCTCACATATTATGGTAGCCCTGTTTGTACTAAATATAATGTAATTTCACCTGTGCCAATAATATGTTTATAAACAACTGAAAAAAGCACAAATGTCAGGCCATGTCAAAACATCAAGAACCCCCAAAACACCTTAGACCCCAGAGGGTTAATAATAGAGTGGATTTTTTTCTACAATATTCACTCATAAAATAGGGCATTCTAAGTCAATCAACTGCAGTATTTCCTCTCTCTATCAGTAGAAAATGTGGTTAACATCCAGTCATGCTTGAAAAAAATAACACCGTAATATACCGGAAAAATATTTTTTTTTGAAAAATATTGTGATATGGATTACAGATACTCACGTCTTAATGTTGTCATGGTAGACTTTAGTATCAGAGGGCTGGTTGTACAGAGGCTGTGGAGAGACAGGAAATGATGCTGATTAGCAAGATGAACACACACACACACGCAATCTATTGCATCAGAAAAATTGCATTAATTTCAAAGTACTTACCAGCTCCACTTTAGGCCCCAACCCTTCCAGTATCTTATGGGCTTCTTCAGCCTTTTTCTGTGAAACAACAGAGAGAATGTTGGTAAAAGAGACAGATGTCTGTCTTTGTGGTTAGATAGTCTGCCTGCTGACACTAAACAAAAAAACTGTGCTCTCATTTGTTGACTGCCAGCTTTGATAGAGACAGAATGTGTGAAACTGTGCACGTTTCAACAGCAGAAAACAGCAAACAAATACACCCAAATCTACAATCTGTTTTTGTAACAGTTGCAAGCATCTACTAAGCACATGTGTTGTCTGTGTGTGAAATTCCCTCTATCGTGGAAGCAGAATGTTCAGAGATTGTCCAAGACCAGATGGAGTGCAGTAGTTTTGCCTCACTTCCTTCAACTGTACTTCTTTCTCTCTCACCCTCTTTACCTCCAAGTCTCAAATCATCTGTTCCAGATGAGTTACTGTGCTCAGCTACCTTTCCTTCCAAAAACAGGCAATCAAGAACTGCCACGTGCACATAAAATTTAGGTGAAATCAATAAATTTAGGTGTCCAAGTGTCCAATGCAGTTCAAATGCAGACACAGACAATTTGAATTTTAAAGGGATCAAATAATAAACAAAGGGAAATTACAATAAGGAGTCATCACTGTGGGCCATTGCATAAACATAGCTGCTAAGTTAGGATTGTGTCATATGAATTAGTCAGATCAAGTCTGATGGAGCTAATAAGATGACAAAATGATTTGAATTTTTTAATTGTGTAAATTTGAATTATTTGCAAGTGTAATCTAACAAAATTGAATTCTAGGTGGTAGCTTATTTCTAAATTTGAACAAATACTGAACATTTGAAATTTAACAAATTGAAATGGCTTTTTTTATGGCTGAATTTTATAGACAAACAGCTAGTTTTTGTGTTCTGAATTCTGATGCCGCAAATATTCGGTTTAAAAAAAAAAAAATACAGATTCAAGTTTTCAAAATGAAGAAATTCGGAACTTCAAATTCAGTTTTCTAAAATTCAATGTCAAAAATTCAGATCTTACAGAAAGTAGGTCACAGGTCATCCACAGGGAAGAGTAGGCTCCGACTCTGATCATGAATCGCCCAGAGTGATTCTTAAACATGAATGATTTTGTGTTTATATGTTAGCTTAGCATTCTCAGCACGCGAGACATTTGTCTAAGTGGCCTCTGGTGTCTGTTTTAAAGTATATTTTGCACAAAATTGATTAGAACGCCACCGTGTCTACTACACAGATAGGACACGAGCGGCGTGACGCAACACAGTGCTTGAAGCAACTGTTGCAAAGAGCTGTGACTAGGTCAGAAATAGGATGGGGAATCCGTGTGCTGTTGGGCATTTCACGGTTCGGGTCGCACCGCTCGCGTCCGGTCTAGACTGCATCGTACATGTAAACATACTGATTGATGACTGACTCTGCAATAAAGACTGTTTTTGGCGCCATCAAACATTACAGGCAAAATATCTTAACTTATGCTGCTTCTCATGGCCAGAGACTACTTTTTTCAGCGGAAGGGTAGGCTTTTGGTGATTTTACTTCATGAAAGTTGCACTAATACATTTTTTTATATAAAATCAAAAGCAAAACCCATATCATGGTACAACATACTAGCAGTAGTCACGTTCATACAGTTATAGTGCCCAGACCTATATATTAACCATATTCAAGTTTTATGAAGATTATGCAAGACCTTAACAACACTTAAGAGGGTTATTTCACCCAAAAATGAAAATTATGTCATTAAACATTGTATTGTCTTCCGGGTCTGTCCACAGTGATGCTACTGACATAAGACGCTGCTGACGTGTTCTCTGGTAGACTCATGAACGCAGAACAGGAAGAGAATACAATGTTTAATAAAGTCGTAGTTTTTGTTATTTTTAGACCAAAATGTATTTTCGATGCTTCAAAACATTCTAACTAACCCACTGGTGTCACATGGACTACTTTGATGATGTCAACACTCTAACTAACCCCTCTGATGTCACATGGACTACTTTGATGATGTCAACACTCTAACTAACCCACTGGTGTCACATGGACTACTTTGATGATGTCAACACTCTAACTAACCCCTCTGATGTCACATGGACTACTTTGATGATGTCTGTATTTCCTTTCTGGACAAGGACAGTATACCATACATACATTTTCAATAGAGGGACAAAAAATTCTCAGACTAAATCTAAAACATCTTAAACTGTGTTCCGAAGATGAACGAGGTCTTACGGGCTTGGAACGACATGAGGGTAAGTCATTAATGACAATTTTTATTTTTGGGTGAACTAACCCTTTAAACACAGTCTGTAAAGAGCACAATCTGCTAGGTTTCTTTGTGTGAGAGAGAGAGAGCAGGGAGAAAGACATGTATAAATGTGTTCATACCCGGTTCTCATCATAAATGATCTGGACAATGCTGCGATGTTTGTGCTCCACAGGGGGCGGCGTCACTGGCTTTTCTGGCTCTACTGGCTTTGCTGCCTCATCTTCCAGTTGTTGCTAAGAGACACCAAACATGACAATACACCTTAAAACTGAAGCCTACAACATTATATATATATATATATATATATATATATATATATATATAGAAGTCGTAGTTAATAGTGATAATTGAACCTCTCTGATTTAGCACACAAATTGAAGCATCATTTACGTCTGTAGAACAAATGGTGTGGGACGAGTTACACTGCAAAGTTAAATACCGAAGTATGCGCAATAATATTAATAGTGATGCTTGCCTTAGCAAGCACCACTAAGTAGAGGGATGCATGACATGACAACAGCAGACAAAACTTTCTCAAAGATGTGCAGAGGTTAAATATTGCATTCATACACATACTCAACATATTTCCCCTGTGACTTATCTTCTGAAACTTTTTGGGGACTTATTTCATCCCCTAAACATGAGCGAACAAACAAAACAAATTGAAGATCAAGCAGTTTATGAGCAAGAAAAGTGAAAAATAGGAGGAAAAATAAAAACAACATTTCTCATTTTAGTCAGACAGACTTTGAATTCCAGTCTTAATGAGGACATGAGTACATGTCTGTGTTATTGTTTTCTTAATCATGCCAGAAAGGGAAAGTACCTTCAACCTGCATGCTAGTATCTCTACAATCAGACATTATAGAAAACAGTGAGGAACGCATATGTACACTTGCTGTTTCTGAGATTATCATGATTCAATCCCTAAGGATTTTTTGCATCGCCACCAAAAAGCAAGAATAGTAGGCACAGACAAGGGAGTTGTGACAAGCCTCTCTTAGAAGGGCAACATTTCCCACAAGGCTTATGGATAAAGACTCAACAAAAAATCCAATCTGCTGCTAGCAGAGAGCACCAGTGTAATTCTCCAGAAACATGAAGCTGAACCCTGGGAGGTACAGGGAGAAAGTCCGAAGTTTTTATTGTGATTTAAACAAACACATCTTGTGATAAGCTCACACATAAGCTCTTTATTTACAAAATGAACAATAGCTTAGAGTTGAAGGCAAATATTTCTTGAGCTGTAGCAGCTTGAGCTGTAGCATCTGAGTTTAGTGAGGTTACACACCTGTTTCTTTTTCAGTTTGAAAATCTGCTGCTCGACCTTGGCAATCTCACGGTCCACACGGTCCATGCTCTGAATCAACTCCTCTTTGGAGAGTTTGGAGGGCGACGTGTCCGCATCCTCACCCACCTGTGGAACTCCACCTGGGGATGAGGTCTCCACCTTCACACTAAACTGGGTTTCCTGTCACAGAAAACAAGAGGGAACAAAATAAGTGCAAGCCTTCAAACGAACCTCAAACCATAACAGCTAATCTGGCAAAATAGTGCAGCTGGAAATGAAATAAAAACCGAAACCCGTTTGTTTTATGGAATAGGGAAATGTTTAAATCTCTCACACTAGTATCCTTCGGGTATGCATGCACATTAATCACCTTCTTGACTTCTCCAGTGGTCCTGATGGTGTCCTGTATGGTGTGTGCAGGGGCCAGTAAGATGCTAGTGGGCTGAGCTCTTGTAAAGTGCGTTTCTGATACATTCTCGATGCGGGGACGCTTGGCCTCAAGAGTTTCCTGATCCTGCTGAGCTGAGAGGGTATGAAACTGATGCTCATAACCATGTCTGCGCTCCGGCGGCCTGCAGGAGACGAGATAGAGATAGACTGCTTCAAAAACCTCAGCACCAAACAATATTACTGAAAACAACACACAACTGTTCAATTTCTATAACATTAGCTTTACCACAATTATTTGATGTAAAAACAATTATTAGAGAATCACAACATTGTGCAATTTATATTCCAATCTCAGTTCAACATCAAAAAGTTTCTCATCAAAAACTAAGTTTTGAAATTAGGAGCAAATCAAACAAACCAAACGTTCAGCTACACAGAATCTCAAAAGGCTTGAGGGTTTAACCGAAGAAATTAGGACAGCAATAGACTGCTGCTACTGTATATTTGTATTACTAATGCTTAATTTTATACAAAATGTAAAATATTACATTAATGTCATTCTACCCTGTGCAATATTTATTAAAAGTTAGAAAAGGAAGTTATACCTTTGTCAATGAGAATAAATGAGTGACATAAACATTCAACTAAATAGTTAAATGCCAATAATATTATGACAATTAATAAACAGCTGGAACGTGATAATGCATAAAACATTTCAAAGTTGTTTAAAGCAAAATATTCAGAAGGAAATCATGTATGGTGGGGGTTGCATCACCTCTCAGTCCCAGGGTGGAATTCGGACAGTAATGAAGGTCTGCGGCGCTGCTGGTCCTGCAGTGGGGAACGGTAGTCGGGAACCGAGAACTCCTAAACAAACACAGACACACACATCAGATAGGAAAAACTGGGTAAAACAAAAACTCATGGATGAGGGATCAGAGAAGCCTTAAAGACATGTGGGCAGAAAAACAAAGAGTGTGTATGATAGTGCCACAACACACTCATCTCCATGTTCTAGTAAAACATGCCATTATAAAACACGCACTTAAAAGTGCAATAGGTGATTCTCAACAGAATTGTTTTTTAGTTGAAAGTCTCCTCATATCCTGATAGCAATCACTACGTCGTTAAGCAGTCTGTGGAAGGTGTAGAACCAAAAAAAAAATTCTCATTTAATTATTTCATTTGGTCCGAATGAGCTTATACCATGTGCAGATCATACGTCATCAGCAAGAGCACTGCTGGCTGCTATTCTGAACCAATAATCGGGACAAAAGGCAGTTGAAGGATGACGTGTATAATTCAAATTTATCTCCAATATATTTAATCTGACTCCATTAAAGTTGTTATTCTCTGATCTCTTATTCTTTAAAAGGTAAAGGTATTTCTTAACTGGATTTAACCTGAATTTTTAGATAACAGAAAGTTATAATCACTTTAGCTTTCAACATCAGTAATAAAAGGAAAGATTCTCAAAACCTTTAAAGTAGGCAAAGTTATTTATTAAGTTACATGTTTAAATATACAGACAGTAGACTGGAACAACATTCCGTATAGAAACTTAGTCGTAACAAATAATGCGCTGTTGTGCAGAAGAGGCCGTAAAAGCGTCTCTCATAGTATGAGGTTACGCACTGGTGTGCGGGAATGGCAGGGTTTCTTTAAGATCAACAGTTACCTTTCCTTCTTACCCCCCTGAGCAAAGCATTGTTAGACATGAGTGGAACATCAACACCGAAACCGACCGACTAACCAAAAGGTGAGGCAAATGGGTGATGATCAAGATGGGGAGAAGAACATTAACATATTCTCCTCAATGCATGTTTAACCAATGGTACCTAGATTGTACATTAGGATACTGTAATAGCCTATTAGGTTCACCACCATTCATTTCAGTTTATAAGCTGTCAGATGAGACCAAACATGATGACTTTTCATAATATAAAGTAAGTAGCTAAAAGCATGTCCTGTGAAGCAAATGTTACAGACGTGTCATTGAGGTGCAAATGACTGTCTCTCCCGACAGAACTATCCTGTGCCTTGAGTGTCCCAACAGTCTTCAATCATCATATTGATGAAATCCCTTGCACTAGATAGGCATTAGCATACTGTGATGATGAAGGCCATTGTGCCACTTTACAGTGAAATGATTTCTGAAGTACTAGGGCAGAAAAGAGTTCTGCCCATATTTGCTCAACCCTACACTCTGCAGACAAAGTCAGAATGGAAGGTAAACGGTTGTTTACAATCTTTTTTGTGGTACTGTTACTCACTATACTGTAAAGTTTTCTAATCGCTGCATGACACACAATGTAATCCAGTAACGTTGTCGCTGTCGTCTCACTTCTGGTCTGAGCGCGTTCATGTGTTTGAGGAGCCGTGGCTTTGATGGTTCAGTTTGAAAAACTGAATATTTTCAGTGCTAGCAGGCTATTTCCCAGATCACCTATTGCACATTTACAGCTGTTTTTAACACATTCAATACTAGAGATGAGATGATCATGATCACTAAAAAAACACCATTAGGGCTGGTGTCCATTTTAGAACCAGTTAAACATTTTCAAGAACCATGGATTAAATAAGACAGAATTGCACAAATCCTGGTGTTTTTACTGGTCGCTGGGAGTTGAAAAATGTTTAACTTTGGATAAAACGCAGCGCTCATCACTGTCACTTTTTACCCAGCCGTCCAATCACAGTGGAGGAGGGGCGGGACTAATACCACACCGACCAACTGTCACAACACTCAAACTGCTACGGATATTCTGTATCATAGCAACAAAACGTCTCAACGGAAAAAACGCTGTGCTGCCAAAACGCTCTCAAGCGCCCAAAGCACAGCGTCTTCAGCTGGCTAAAAACGCTTTGGTGGACACACGGCCTTAGGGATAAACAGAGTCTGTGTAAACCCCATCAAACCTGTTTATAAAGTTTACAAAACACCTTTCTCGTAAAAGGGATAGTTCACCCAAAAATGAAAATTAGTCCATGATTTACTCACCCTGAAGCCATTCTAAGTGCATATGATATTCTTCTTTCAGACAAGTACAATCACAGTTAATTTAAAAAATGTCCTGGCTTCCAAGCCTGATAATGGGAGTGAATAGCTGTTTGACTTTAGAAGTCCATTAAAGCACATCTATTCATGAATAAAGTCCTCGAAACAGCTCTGCTGAGGTTAGTAAAGGTTTTCTGAATTGAATTGATGCGTTTGTGTAAGAAAGATATATTATCGACTAAAATAACTAGCTTTCGGCAGAGGGCGTTGTGTGTCAAATTCAAGTGTTACTCTTTTGGCATAAATCGATGTGTACGGCTGTATGCCGGAAGCTAATTTAGTCGATAAGGTTTTAAATATGGATACAAAAGCACTTTAAGTTTCAAGCAGTTTAATCATGAATAGATGCACTTTAATTGTATTCATTAAAAATAAAAAGAATGTCATAAACACCAAGGACGGCTTCAGGGTGAGTAAATCATGGGCTAATTTTCATTTTTGGGTGAACTATCCGTTTAAACGAAGTACATGTAATTTTACTTGTTTGCAGCAGTAAATCAGGCTTGCTCTGAGAGAAATGGTGGTGCTATTAGTCTTGTGGTTACAGGATCTGCAGTGAACACACACAACTAACAAGTTAAGTTCAAAGTAGAAGAGACTCGTATCAGGGAAAGGAAAATTACTGTTACAATTCTACTTTAGCAACGTTCCTGTAATGTAGTTTGTCGGCAGTGTATCGTGCGTTGTAGGTGAAGGTGTCTGTGGTACTGACCGTCGGGTGGCGTGAGGAGCTGAAGGTGTACTGCACTGAGTGTGGTGGGTAACGGCTCTGCTCGCTGCTGAAGGACCCCTGGCTGGGGGGAAATCCTGAACTGGACATGCTGCGGCTGCCTGGTGGGTGGCCGGAGGCTCAGAAGGGGCCTGGAGCACTGCTACGCAATCACGGCCTCAACGACGGCATGATCGTGCGGTCAAACCACCTGAGGAAGAGAGGGAGGAGGAAAATAAATATATAAGAACTTCAAGAATTTCAAGAGCCAAAAATTCTTAAGGAGTCTTGGGTACAAAAAGTTTTTCATGGTCTCAGATCACAATGTGCGACCTATTCATGAAACATGCTGTGTTTTACAGGATTGCTAGGCAAATGTTCTGTTTGGTTTTCCAGAAAAAGTGCTGGCTTCTTAAAACCATCTGAACTGATGTTTGACAGTTTCTGACAGTTGAAACTAGTCCATTCAAATCAATGCACTATCATCAGAGCAAAAGCAAGACTGTTCCATTCAAATATTAGCTTTTTACACAACCCTGTAATATTCCGTTAATACCTTTTCATATCAGGTCAAAAGGTTGAGGGCATTTATTTGGCTTTCAGATCACAGGTCACGCTTCAGTACACACGAATAAGCTCTGTCTCACGTATCAACACGAGAGTCTGTTTGCATAACCAAATCAGTCAGCAGGAATCTCCATGACCGAAGCTGGCTGAGTGATCCTCAGCTCAGAGTGTGTGCGGATGGGATTTTCCTTATGCACTTCACAATGCTTATCTGTCAGAGCATGGACAAAAATTCAGCCTAACAGGTGGAGACCTATTGTTTGATATGTCCACAGTACACTTTTATATATTTTGTCTCCCTTTAATCAAGTTCAACCTGCCCCTCCATCTTCTTGCATCCATTCATGCCATAAATTCAACCTTTTGTCATCACTTACCCCCCAAATATGTCTCAGGCTATATCAAAAACAAAAAATACTTCTATCTTAAATATCTTAAACATTGACACATCACTTACTTATTAACCCTGAAACTGAAACATGGTAAAAGTTAAATATTCAGCACAAGAGAGCAAACAGAGAGCATGACACGCCCACATCCTGCAAAATCCAGGATTTGGCAGGATTTGGCCCATCAACACCACAACAGAGACATATTAATATATAAAGATTCACTAAACCACCACTCTGGACATGATTTGATCCATCAAGGAAATTTGCAAAAGACTTATGAAAGCTCTACATCCATTTGTGATCTGGAAGCTTACTGTTAAATGTTAACTTGAACAATGATCTGAAAACAGTTCTGATGGTCAAGATTACTTTAGGGCAGAGGAGGATCAACCCAGATCACAATGAAATGACAACCTCTCCCAGAGACAGATTCTGTATTAATGTTGCCGTCAGAACAAAAGATAGCTTTAATTGTAAGGAATAAGAATTAATAGCCCAAGTATTTAGTCAGGACTCATGACTAAAATACTATCAGTGTTATTTTACATTTGATTACCTAATTCAGTTTCTGTAGTATTTCTGAATAGAATACTAGTGTTAGACATTAATTGTGCTACTTTTTGCTACAATTTAATTCAAAGATTAAAATCAAGCTTCCTTGCGTTGTGAATCTTAACAAGAAAATTACCAAATCGTAAAAAAAACAATGAATGAGCAAAAATGTAGGAGAGATAAATGTAATTAAAAAGGACACCTTTTTTCCTATATAGTCATACATATCATTTTCGCAAATATTCTTGAAATATCGGAATATAATTTTGAGGCTATATCGCCCTACAAATAATATTGACACGCAGTTAATGGTTTAAGAACTAATGCAAGTAATTTTTAGAGTAATTTTTCAAGATATTGTAAAATGTTACCTGCATAGTTGAATAAAATGCTACACATAAAATTGGGCTTTGAGAGGAAAAAACAAATCAAGATAAGTCATGTATATGCCACATTTTATCATGTCAGAAACACCAGTGATTTCAAACCGCGTTTTTGAGACCGTCTTTTGCTCACTGCAGTTAAGGGGGGGGGGGGGGGGGAATGCGGCAGTGGTGTTAACTTATGAATTTGCACATGGTTTGTCTTAACACTACAAGTGCCAGAATTCCATAACTACTAGAACTGCCATAAGCTCTATATCCAAACTCTATATCTTTCATTGTAAATACCCAATTGAGAGGTTTCATTTTCATTTCATTTATTATACAGGAAAATTCAACAGCAACAGTAAAACGGGCCTGGCTCAGTTTAAAAACTGGTTTACAAGACATTATTATTGACTATTATTGGTTTATTATATTTGGATATCTTTTAAAAACAAAACACCAAACTGTACATTTAAACAAGTTTAATTATACATTTAAATAATATTATTAGTAGCCTACTGTAATTATCGCATATTAACATCAGCTATGTTTGCATTTCTATTCAAAATAACTCAGAACAAGATAACAACTAAAAGTATCTTATTTAGATATTTTGTTGACAGTGAGAGAGACAAAGGTCAACCATGGAAAATGTAACAAGAATACCACAAAATTCAGTGCGGTCAATATGACCGCCTATGGCCGAAAAAGGTAAATATGTTCATTTGTTTTGTTTTTTTGCCTTTTGTGTAATTTATATGAAAAGCATTTTAAATGAAAATACAGACACTTTTAGGAAAAATCAAGTACCAGCAGGATTTCTTTTCTTTCTTTCTTTTTTTCCAACAAGGTTATTGCAGATATAAAATTCAAAAGGGTCAAAAAGACCGTCATGGCCGTTCTAAAGGCATATATTAATATAGGCAAATAAACAACATTAAAAACTTGATTTTCACCACAGGGGGGCTTTAAGAATCCATTTCACTATCGATTAAAATAGAGAAATCGATCATGTCAACCCAGTCCACACAGCAGACACCAAAATAGATGCACAAAATAGATGCTGAAGTCAAAATGTGCCATTAGGAGAAGCGCTAATTAAACGTCACTATCTCAGTCAATGATTTCGGGCATTCAAAACCATTTTGGCACGAAACCGAAAATTGCAGTAGGGGAAATTTTTGTGCATTCCTAATAATAACATATGCATGGATGAATTCTTCACAATAAGATCATTAAGATGCATTTAGAAAATAGATTTCCATTTCATGGCAACTTTAACACACTCCCTAGCATCTATGCACCACATAAAGATCTGGAGTCCTTGATACTCTCTAATATACAAACAATGCCTTAACCCTTAAAGCACTGCACCTAAGGGGAGATGAGTCAAGGTGTATAAACTTCAAAGGTAAAATAACTTGATAACTTTATTTAACATAACAGACATTAATGCAACAAACATTTGAGTTGTACTGTTCTGGAACAGTGATGTAAATAAATCAACTAGGGCTGGGCGATGTGGCCGAAAAAAACATATCTCTGTATTTTTTTGGTTAAATAGCGATATACAATATATATCTCGGAACTTTCTACATTTTTCAATTTGAATAAAAAAAAAATCTGTATTTTTTCTGTACATTTAAAAAAAAATATATATTTCACATTCTGCCCAATCCTACAAACATGATTTGAAGGATATAGAAACAAATAAACAATGTAATATAGGCTATGCAATATATTATGCAAAAAGATTTTGTTTTTAAATTGACCAAAGGCTAAAATAAAAATGCAAATAAAAACAGAAGCACAAACTAATTATATTAGCCTGCATTTGATTACCCCCTTATAATGGCCAATTTAATGAAAATATACTTGTATGTTTAAAATTCCACATATGGCACATTTATTGTCTCCAACATCATATATTTTAGGAAAAGGTTTATTTTAGTCAGAAATATTGCGCTACTATTCTATTGTGCTCCGTGTGTTTGACGGCAGCTTGAATTCCAGCGGAATTCAAACGCATTAAACCGTGCAAGTATTATCTGTCACTGTCAGACAGCAACAGTTTCTGTCAGAGCATCCGACAGGACAAGCTGCTTTAAACTTGTTAACTATATACTAGGGCTGTGAAACGATTAATCGCATCCAAGATAAAGGTTTGTGTTTACATAAAATGTGTGTGTGGTGTGTATAATTATTTTGTATATATATATATATATATATATATATATATATATAAATACACACACATGCATGTATATATTTAAGAAATATATGCATGTATATATTTTATATATATTTATACAAAATGTATATTATACATAAATATAAATATTTGATATATTAATAACACATTTTTCTTAAATATATACATGCATGTGTGCATTTATATATATACAAAATAATTATACACACGACTACACACACATATTATGTAAACACAAACTTTTATTTTGGATGCGAATTTTATTTTAATCGTTTCACAGCCCTACTACATACCAGTCATTTTGAAGCCCTTAAACTATTGTATCGATATAAAAGGTATTGCCTCATTCCATATCGTTTATATATATATGATATACCACCCAGCCCTAAAATCAACCACTGATTCCTAATTGTGTCCACTTTTGGAAGGCCAAATAAAGTGCTGCGCTTTTGCATAGAAACACACAGCGACTGGCAACCACACTACTGATAACTGAAGCCACACCTTCTTTCTTTGCATATGCATTTGGGTGGCATTATGCAAATATTTCCACCTAGAGACGTAGATTGGTGAGGTAGAATTCAATAGAGGGGTTTTAGCTAGGTCTGGATCTGCCTTTCTCTTTTAGATTGAATGTTTTGTAGGAGACATTGAGCTATGAACAGTAAAGGCGGCCACAATTTCGACTTTTCAAATGAAGTGCTGCGAGTCTATGGTCAACCTCCTCTAACTTGGCCACAGCCATTCAAAAGATAGCATGGCAACTGCAGATCCAGGAGACTCACCGACAGAACTTGAACCCCCTCCTCTTTCATTGAAATCGCAAGTTCATTGAATACTTCAGGTAGAAGTTTTTTGGATTTCCAGTGAGTCGTGTATTGTTGACAACATTCACGCTTAAATAAAGCCACAGTTTGCAGACATCAAGTCTCGAGGAAGTTCCGGGTGTCTCCCACATATTGATAGCGGCTCCCTGATGCACGCAAATTAGTTAAAATCTCCCGGAATCTAGAGTGAGCTAGCAAGAGCGAGCGTGCATGCCGAGACAGAAAAAAATTATGCACTACGGCAGAGAGGGAGAGAGCGAGAGACCTTGCGTATGTGCCTCATGAAGCGCATGTAAGACAGAGGACCCTGATTGGCCGATTGACAAAAATCGAATCGAACCATGACCTTAGAATCGAGAATGTAATCGAATCGAGGATTTGGAGAATCGGGACACCCCAAATGAACAGCTACATAAAAGAAGAAGGAAAACATGAACAAAAGAAAAACACTCCCTTAAAATAAAAAATAAAAAAATGAAACTCCTAAAATTATATTAACGTCTTCTACAATATAACTTTTATTAGTTATATTATAATAATAATTACACCTCTGTGGAAATAAATTTTCTTCGCGAGAGTTATTTAAAAGTTTTAAATAACTGTGATAAACTGTCAAAAACAGAAATAAATTAAATAATTATCAGAACTGTATATCAGTTATTGGGCACATAAACATGCAAATTACTGCTATCAGTAATGAAAAAAATATCAATATATCTCTCTAATTTTAAAAGACACAATGGGAACAAAACTCCTCCAAAACTTAGTCAACGTGGCAGCTTGCCTCCGAGTATTTTCCGGTGCTCGCTCGTTCACTAGCATTACCGTGCCACACTTGGCCAGACACGGCAGCACAACAGTTACATGTCCTGTGTTTCACTCCACTGTCCCTCAGCCAGCACATAAGGCAAAAGCAATGATAAATAGGGGGGGGTCTGGCACTCTTTACAGGCACATATCTCTCCTCATGGCAAGCCTAATTAATTTGCAAGTGGAGCTGCAAACAGAGCAGGGTTCTGCTACAGGGTCGGGAGAGAGATAGAGAGGTGCTGGATTCACCAGCATTGCTTAATTTTGAGCTCTACAGTCCCGTTCACACTACAAGCGACACGAAACCATTTATTTCGGGGGGGGGGGGGATAATATATATTAATATATATTAATTTATATTAATTTATAAATTAATACATTTAAATTTTGAAATCGACCGTTGGCAACTGGTGGGGCGTGTCTGGCGAAGCGACAAAGTTGAGATCTCAGATAGACCGGTATTTGCCCGATTGCTGCAGTTAAATAGCCAGTAATTTCTGCAGTGGAGCGGCAACAATTTTCCCTCTGCGCTCCAAGCATTTAATAACCACTCCGCTCCAGGTTCACCATTTCACCCGGGTTCACAAATCCGGGTTCTGCTCCAATCCTCGCTCACTGATATCAGATACACCGCTCTATCTTCGTTCCCCAAGGAAATTGCGAATAAAGTATGCTTTAAAATCTCACAAAATGTCTCCTCATCACAATATAGGCATATTAAATTTAAAAAAAAAAACAACATTAGGAGAAAAGTTGTGGAATCTTTCTGGATCGGTCATCAAATGGACTACTTGCACTGAGCTTCGCGACGCACTTCCGTTTGGAAACAATACATATCACTTATTTCCGGTTACGTTTACTTTCAATGTACTGCGGTCAATGAGTTGAACAAACACCACCTAAAATGAGTGTCTGTAATAAGATTTTATATTTTGGACATTTTTATTGACAGAAGAAGCGATATTCTGATGTTTACCGTGTGCAGAATTTTCAAAACTCATCGGAACATTAAGTTTAAATCCAAACCAAGCCAATACAAGAAAGCTGCGGCTGTTAAAAATACGCCATTATTTCACCACAGGGTGTCAGTGTTCGTTTACACTAGTGACCGCGACGCTGAAACGTGTGAAAACAGATGAATAACATCAGTAAGAAACACGAACATTTATTTATTTGTATTAAATATTGTATACTATTACATGTTCATGCCCAAAATGCATAATTAATATTCAGAGAAGTTGACTGTCATTCTAGCTGAGTGCGTTCTGTTCGTAGGTAGGCACCTCGCGATCATTCATTCATTCATTCAACTATTTTAAAAAGACAGGAATAAAGCACCAATGCACACTTTTTATTAGTAAAATTCATTAAAAAAAATGTAAACTCAAGTATAGAATATAAGTAGGCTAATACTGTTGTTAATGAGAAGACAGAAGACTACTGCAGGTTAGTGGATAAATATATTTAGCCTATTTATTATTCAGAATGGAACAGTTAGAAAGAAAATATATTTATAGGAACATTTCAGCAAGCTCAAGATAATTAATACAGAGATCGTTATTCATTGTTTTAATCAATTGGCGTCCATAAAACATAGTGATAATCTGCATTCTCATGTATGGACGTGCGATGAACACTCTAACCGGAAACTCCCGGTATATAATAAGTAGAACGCGGAAGTAGTTGTGCAAGTAGTCCATTGATAAGTGTAAAAATATCAAGCACTGAGAGAAAGGCTATAAATCTCCACCTCCAACATCCTCACACGCAAAATAGCTTATACTAGCCGAGACTCCTTCTTTATGTGACGTAATGATGACGCAAAAGAAAACAGAAATCCACCAGTACCACTGGAATTAAAAACATTTACAAGCTTACCGCTTTGAATCGAGCTAAGACAAGCAGATAGTTTTGAACACTGGCTGGTTATGTATTTTCTCAAATATGTATTTTGGATCATTTTTAAACCCAAAAAATGTTACCGATTGCAGCTTTAACAAGTAGGTTGTTCATTAGCATGGCAACCGACATTGCGTGTCATGTTGAATGCGATTTTCGTGTTTAAAAAGTAACTATACATAAGAGGCGGAAAGATGTAGATAACCATAATATATTTAAGGTTATTTCTATTTGTTACGATATTGATATTTGACCTGATATTGTCAAGTAAGCTTCATGCTTTCCCCGCTGCAAACATGCACTCCTCTAAACTGCAACTAGTCTGCGGGCGCTGCACTGCTAGTTGACTGCATCACAAACTAATTTAGACGTTATGCAGATTTAATTTGTGCATGGGTGCATCCAGGGGAGCATTCTACACTAAAAGGGGAAAAGGCACATTATCCACACACACACACACACAAGCATATATATATATATATATATATATATATATTAGGGCTGTGCAAAAATTATTTGCGATTAATCGCATCCAAAATAAAAGTCTGTGTTTACATAATATATTTGTGTGTGTGCTGTATATAATTATTTTGTATATATAAATACCTATGCATGCATGTATATATTTACGAATTATTTGCGCTTAAATTCTGTATATATAAATACATAATCTATATTATATAAATATATATATTTTATATATGAATAACACATTTTCTTAAATATATACATGCATGTGTGTGTATTTATATATACAAAATAATTATATACAGCACACACACAAATATATTATGTAAACACAGACTTTTATTTTGGATGCGATTAATCGCAATTAATTTTTGCACAGCCCTAATATATATATATATATATATATATATATATATATATATATATATATATATATATGAAGAGTTCAGATGCAAAAGCCTCTAAGTGCCATTTAAAATTTTCTTCTAAAATGATCATTTTTATCAAGCTTGTATATTTAAGTTCAGTAATTTTACTTAAATGGCAATGAAGATTACCTATTAATTGTTATTTAAGTGAAATTACTGAACTTAAATATACAAGCTTGATAAAAATGGTCATTTTAGAAGAAAATTTCAAATGGCATTTAGAGGCTTTTGCATCTGAACTCTTCATATATATATATATATATAGAGAGAGAGAGAGAGAGAGAGAAAGAGAGAGAGTCTCTTTCTCTCTCAAAGTTTTTTTTTTCTTTTAATCTCAGCATTATGGTCAAATTTATATGTTGTATATTTACATACATAGCATAGAAGTATCAGAAATACTTCTCCATAACCCTGAGATAAAGGAAAATCCTTAATTTGTCCAAAGCAAGTCAATACAATATTTATTAATAGATTTGAATGTCTCTGGTAAACGTATTAAAGTATGCATTATCTTTAAGGGTGATAACTTCAACAGACTGTTGCAAAGAACTGTCATCAGTTGTGAAACTTATATAGGTGCACAAGTCCAAACTTTATGTAATTTCCAGGCAGCGAAACTGACATACCAAATACAGTGAGTTTCACATTCAGCACTTGTTATTCTCATTTCAAGCATGATTTTAGACACTAACGTTACTCTGGCTTTTCCATGCAAGAAAAGGATAACATTTAAGGAAACCCACAAGTATAAGAAGTCTTAGCTCATGTGTGTATTACGGAGCAGACTTTAATGAAGATTTTCAGCAATAAACTCCTGGCTGTGGTATAAACACACAGTGTAATGGCGTTAGCCAGCAAGCTAAAATTAGTTAATCCGAGAAACACCATTAAACCGGAAACCACAAACAAAATCTAAATATCTCACGTAGACAGAGATGTGAATCAACCTCATAAGAGATCACCTAAATAAATATGTAGAGTAAAATGGTCCGGGGGAGAGTTTAAGGGAAACATCCGTTAGCTGAATGTTGCACCTTTGCATTCAAAACTGCGTCGCCATCTTGAACATAAGCGCTCAGGTCTCATGAGCCTGCGTGCAATGCTCCACAAAACGCTCAAAATTTTCACATTAAATAATACACTCACCTCATGTCCTTAAAGACACTCCAATAAGCGCTGAAAGGGGAGTCTGTGCGGTTCAAACGTGCGGTAATGCAATTCGGCGGCAGTGAGACTGCGCGAGCACACACACACTTCAAACACACACAGGCTTGTTATTTTGTCCTCACTGAGTCGTGGATATAAATTCGAGTCGTTTTCTTTAAGATTCTGCGCCAGAAGTTAATATACGTCACAAGTATGCCGGGTTCTTCTTGCTGAATGCCCTGTGGTTTGCATTTTGTGCAGCTCTGGTCTAGTGCACCTGAGGAGATGGAGTGAAAGAGTTTTTCTCAAGCAAACAGGATGAAACGGTGTGACGTTCAAACTCTCCCCACAGGCGGCCTTCACCCCACCCAAGCCTCAATCTCCGTATATTGCTGTACACCAGAAATACAGAGAATTTTTTTATCATTATTAAAATCAACTTTTAGAAACAAATTGATTCCAGTATTAATAATTGTTTTATGCTTCCGCATTTGAAATTATTCCAGCTAAGGAGTTTATTACATATAATTGAATCAATTATGTCGTGCAGTTGTGCTTTTTCTGACTTCAAAATTATATTATGTGTATATAAATTGGAAATATAAATAATATCCTACAATAACCCAGTGTTTTTTTTTTTTTTTTTTAAAACAATCCGATCTTCGCATTTATAGGAACCATTATTCAGGAAACGATGTTCTACACGGACACTTTCATGGCGCGGTCGAGATGTTTGTTTTCGTTTCCATCATATTTGTCTTTGTGGCTTACACTGTTTCTATTAAGTTTGTATATTACAGATTTAGCCAGTTATGGCCACAGTTACGAAATAAAATATCCAACCCTTCATACACCTTTGGAGACGCACATTTTTGTCCAACACAAAAGAGGTCCGGCGCATTCCTACCAAACTCGGAGACAGCAAACGAGACTCGAGCTCTGTTAGTCACTGCACATCCAGATGACGAATGCATGTTCTTTGCACCTTCAATCTTAAAGCTAGTTGAATCACAAGCATCCGTTTATTTGTTATGTTTGTCAACAGGTAGGTTTACTATTACGTAAATAAATTATAACCATAACCTGAAAACATAATTTGTCAGTTCTATTGAAAGCCAGAACCTTTTTTTCACATTGCAAATGCATGCTGTTTGGTTATGTAATTTGAACAAATAATATACTCTATGTGTAGAACTGATTAAATAAAGAAATATGGACTTCTGCAGAAATATTTAACATGCTTGTGTAATGTAAAAGAGACACATAAAAGGTTTCTGCAATCCTCAGGCAATTACAATAATCAAGGACTCCAACGCAAAAGGGAACTGCTTGACAGCTGTGCGGTGCTGGGAATTCCATCCGACCATGTCACCGTCATAGAAGACAAGTAAGGGGGCAGGATACACAATTTTCATTTAAAGTAATTGTTCACCCCAAAATGTAAAATGTGTCATTGTTTGCTCTCATGTTGATCCAAACCTGTATGACCTGTGGTCATAATATAATAAAATATAATATATTAATCATCTGAAGAACTTCTTGAATGGAAATCTAAAAGACTGCATTGGATTTATAGTTTAGTGATTTTTTTCCCTGTCATGGCAAAGCTGAATTTGCAGAAATCATGTGATTATGCTAATTTGGTGCTCAAGAAACAAATCTTATCAATGGTTGTACTGCTGCTTAATATGTTTATGGAAACCGTGATGTCTGCTATTAAAAACTTTTGGGGTAATTATTTTTAAATAATTTAATAGTTGTATTCAGCAAGGTTGCACTAAATTGATCAGAAGTGAGAGTGAAGAGATTTATAATTTTACAAAAGATGTATATTTCAAATAATTGCTGTTCTTTTTGTTTTGATCAAAGAATTCTGGGAAAATGATCACTGTTTACACAAAATTAAGCAGCAAAAACTGTTTTCAACAATAAAATACAGATAGCGTAGCCTATGTGTGTATATACATTTCTTTTGTGACATTCTGTAGAACAATATAAAATCTTTTTTGGAAATATATAACAAGATGTCTCTCTACAATTCCTGTTAAAGCTGCTGTCTGTAGCTTTTTTGGGGTGAAAAAATGATCCAAAATACGTATTTGAGAAAATGCATAACCAGCCAGTGTTCAAAACTATCTGCTTGCCTTAGCTCGATTCAAAGCGGTAAGCTTGTAATAATGTTTTACATGAATGCAAAGGCATATATGGCAGTTTCAGTTTCTTCATATGAATGAATGCACATGATTACTTGATGAGTAAGATGCATGCACAAACCTGCCAACCCTGATTTTCAACATAACTCCATAAAGATAATAAAGATTGTGTCAATCAATCAGCTCCCAACACTGACAATAAGACCTAGTCTAATCTTGGTGAGGGTGTTTTATTAATGCTATGAAAATAAACATTTAGTTCCAGTATGGCCACCCCCAAAGGCTTCAGCCGCAGCGAGCAAACCCATTTAGGGGGGCTAGGTCAGGCCCTTCCTCTTCTCCCCTGGCTTCCCTGTGAGCAAAGAGTTGCTGGGCTACAAATGAATCCCTTCCATTCTTGTCACAACAGAGGCACAGACAGCTTGAGAAGATGTATGGGAGCATGATCTGTCACCGACATAAACGACCAGGCAAGGAGACTAAAAGAGGGAAGTCCTTAACCCTCCTAAGAACTCTATGATGACACGGCCTGAACATTAGAGTGCATGGGGCATGATTTTCTAAAATAGTCATTGTGATCCCACAATTATCAATATCACTCACATCTGTGGAATTTTCTTAGTCACGTTTAAATTGTCAGCGTTTTCCTCAATCATCAGCTGTTTTTCTCAAATATGAATTATAGTTCAGATTTCCAAAATACAGGCACACCAAATAAGATTTCCTCCTACCCACATTTTTCCCTCACTGCTGCTTAAGCTGTGCAGTAGGATACATGTATCAATAATATTTACACCATTGAAAAGTTTAGAGTTAGTAATATTAATGTTTTTATTATTTTCTATAATTTCATTCAGCTAGTACACATTAAATTGATCAAAAGGGACAGTAAAGACACATATAGTGTGACAAAAGATTTCTATTTCAAATAAAAATGCTGTTCTTTTTAACTTTATTCATCAAAGAATCCTGATAAAATTGATCATGATTTGCACATAAATACTAACTACAGTTTTCAGCATTGATAATGATGCATGTTTCTTGAGCAGAAAATTATAATGTTTTCGGAAGGATTATGTGACACTGAAGACTGGAGTATGGATGCTAAAAATTCAGCTTTGCCATCAGAGGAGTAGATTACATTCTTAAACATTAGTACAATGGAAAATAGTTATTTTACTAATATCTCACTTTATAATTGTTTTGACTGTTTTTCTCAAATTATCAAATAAATGCAGCTTTGATTATTATTAGAGACTTTTTCAAAAACTAAATTAAAACTAACCCAAACTAGTGTAAGTGCTTTTATCTAAAGAAAGCAACCTACAATTTACTTAGTTTAAGGACAACCTGAAGTTAAGTGCCTTGCTGAAGGCTACAATGAAGGCTTTACATACAGATTCCACGAGGGCCTTCCGATGCCTGACCTTTAACTACTACGTGTCTCTATTTTCTGAAACGTATTAGCCATCATTTGGGTGTTTTTATAAGATTCAGATGTTGAAATATTACCTGATGTGCTGTTATTGCATTTTTGCAAACTAGCTGTGTGTGTGTGTGGGAGAGATAACATGACGTAGACATACCATAACATAGATTATACATGATTATAAAACGTTGTCTCTTCAGAGCATACTGCTACTGCTAGGATTTTTTTTTTATTTTTTAAGCATTTTTAATCATGTCTTTTTTTTTTCTGCTGAGTAAACTTAACACTATTTATTCCCAAAGACCCTAAATCTACAGTTGGAAAAATGTAGTTAGGAATCCTTCAGCATTTCAGATAACACTTTGTCACATTGTGCTTGGATTTCAGCTCGCAGCTGGTCTGGAAAAAAAATTGCCATAGAATTTCTTTGCTTAGTTAGGTTTATGCTTAAAATGTAAAAAAGTAACAAGTTCATTCAGGGAAAAACAGTTTTATTTACTTACTGCATTAAATAAATATGGCTAAAGATTTTTAGAATTCTTTGAAAGCAACACTTAATATCTTGTTTCTCGGATAAATGTATTTTTAGGCATTTTACAAGACAGCAATAGTTAAAGTCCCAGTCAAAATGTCTTGTTTGGAAATGGGTATTTGCTTTTTATTAAAAAGAATTAAAATATTGGACAGGCTGGATGACAATAAAATTCAGACAGCTTGTACTGTGTATAGCTAGTCCAGTATCTCTGGAAATAATTGCAAGTTTCTTGCTGAAAAATCATATGGAGGTATTTTAGATAATAAGTTTGCTGGAATGGGATTTTGTTAAATGACATAAAGCAGAGTTTTCCTGTCCACCCAGAGAATGGCAGGAAAAAAAATATGATGTATGTGTCACAAATTCAAGTTCTCCCAAAAGAATTTGCATAGTCATGGTAATATGTTTTCCAGGCCGTTTTCCAAGTCCTATGACCCACCCTGCCTGCAGTTCTTCCCAGCATGAATCTGTGCACCCTTTGCTTCCTTCTTGGCATTGGTGTTTTCATGCTTAAATTCAGCAGATCCCCAGAGGTCCAGAACACCATTGCATGGCTGAAACTTCTCCACATTTAGAGTTTGTTGGTTTCTGGAAGGATGGAAAAACTAAAGCAGAATGGACCCTCTAGCTGTCCCAAATGTAACAAGACATTTCCTGGTGTGTTGGACGATCAGATACGCCCTTGTTTTGACTGCTTTAAACACAGCTGTCACATTTACCTCCATTTGGGTCATTTAGATCATTAATATGGTACGCACTCTTTGTGTAAGTGTGGGGTCAGTGAGCAGTTGTCTTGTTTTAGACCACTCTAGTGGCGGTACGTGGAATCAGGGTGTGTTCTGAGAAGCCTGGCAGTGTTTGTGTGTGTGTTGACTAGGTAAACTCAGACACCCACCTGGAACTTTCATAATAAGTTGGCACAACGCCCAGTCTGCCTGTATCTCTCTCTCTCTCGCCCTATCGGGTGTAACGATACCCTCATTTCATGATTCGATACATATCACGTACTGAACTCGTGATACGATATTATTGCGATACTCCAAGACATGTCATAAAATGTTAACAAAAAAAATGTACTGTTGATTAAATTGCTAAATTTGATTTTACATTGTGTGTGAAAATGAATAGGCTTGGACAAAACACAGTACATTAGAGACACCAGAATAAAAATATTCATGATTCTGCAATTATTTTAGACGAATATGACTCTTTCACTGACTACTGACTAGATATATTTAAAATAATGTAGGTCACTTTTTTACACAAATATTCCCCTACTGAATTATTATACATTATATTCAATATTATATATAATATGTTAATGTACTACTGACATTAAAACTCTGAAAACTCACATAGTCATTTTATTTTGGATTAACTGTTCACGATACATATTGTCACAATCCAATCCACGATACATATTGTTGCATTTTTGTATTGCGATATATTGTGAAACGACATATACACCCCTGTTATTAATCTAATGTACACACAGCATATACTTTGATCCATTCTGACTCATTTTCCTTGTTCACCTTATCCACCGTATCTTAGTCTTTACCCGGGAGCTGACACTGTAATCTGATCCTTTCCTCTATAGTCATTCACAAGCACATACACAAACACACAAGTCTTAAATCTCACCTCGCATTTGTCAAAACCACATTGTTATTAGTGACTAAAAGTAAGTACAGCATAGATCACTTCACTCTCAAATACTCTAATCAAGATCTTTTTTTATAATCTAAAGTTACAGATTTCACTGGAGCATAGATAGCTGATGACTGCAGTGGGTACTGATAACGCTTAAATCTGAAAGATGAACTTCTGGGTCTTTCGGTTGCATAGCTTGACCTCAGCAAACTGTGATAATCTCTAGCTTTCATCTGCACGTTTAAGCTTGTGTGTGTGTGTGTGTGTCAGCGTCCTGGCAGGGTCATCTGGGCTGGTTCAGGAAAGGTCGCTGTTTAGTGATCAGGGATTGGCGTGCATGCAATGATCCTATTCATACCCTGCAGTCAGCAGCAACGACTGTTGTCGTACCCAGAGTTCTGAACGCACACACACACTCAACTGAGTAGACAAAGGTTAAATGAGTGCACATAGTTTAGAGTGACAAAGTCTTGTGGACTTTAGTCTCAGTCTCAGACATCCACAGACCGCTCACTCACGAACATTGTATGCAAAACTGGCAAGAACTGGTTGAAGTCAGCAATTGCTATCTGACTGGCTGACGGCTAGCCTGTTTCATAATATCCTGACATCAGGGT